TCTCCCACCGATCTAGTTCTGTGGTTGTACACCCGAAAGGCCCTACTATTGGTAGCGTACCCAACAAACATACCTGTGTCATTTCAAGAGTCGAATTTACCAAGGTTGTCTTTGTCATTCAGAATGTAGCAGATGCACCCGAAGATATGAAAGTAGCTCAGATTTGGAGTCTTTCCATTCCATATCTCGTATGGTGTAGTCATGGTTCCTGGTTTCACGTACACCCGGTTTATGATATAACACTCAGTGTTAATGGCTTCAGCCCAGAATCTAGGTGAAACGTTGTTTCCATGAAGCATGGCTCTGACCATTTCTTGCAGAGTTCGATTTTTCCGCTCAACTACTCCGTTTTGTTGAGGTGTCCGAGGAGCAGAATACTGATGTCTAATGCCTTGGCTGTGATAGAACTGTTCGAAGACCTCACTTTGAAACTCTCCACCGTGATCGCTTCTAATCTGAACTATGCCCCCTTTCTCGGTTTTCAACTGAAGAGCAAGGATTTTGAAGCATGACGCATCTTCCAATTTTTCTCTCAGAAAGCTTACCCACGTGTATCTGGAGAAATCATCCACCATCACAAAGATATACCTTTTCCCATTAATGCTTTTAGTTGAGATTGGTCCCATTAGGTCCATATGCATCAGTTCGAGAATTCTTGATGCTCGAGTTTCACTTAATGCTTTGTGCTGCACCTTAACTTGTTTTCCTTTTTGACATGCGCCACACACAGTCTGAGTTTCTGATTCAAGTGGGGGGATTCCTCTTACCACTTCGGCCTTTACAAGTTTTGTTAGGCCTTTCACATTCATGTGCCCAAACCGTTTGTGTCATAGGTCCAGCTGAGACTGTCTTGCTGATAGGCACTGATCCGTTACACTCCACATGTAGCAGTTATTACCAGACCTAGTCCCATACATCACAGTGTTTCCATTTTCATCAATGGCTTTACAATCCACTCGAGTGAAGATGACCTCCAGTCCTTCATCACACAGCTGACTGACACTTATGAGATTTGCCTTTAACCCATGAACATAAAAGACATTCACAAGTTTAGGTCGCTCCTCTCGAGTAAGCGCTCCAACGCCAAGAATTCTCCCTTGACCACCATCTCCAAATGTGACTTGTCCTCCTTTCACTGTGTTGAGTTCATCGAACGACTCTTGATTACCGGTCATGTGTTTTGAGCATCCACTGTCAAAATACCAAGCCCTGGAGACTTCTCCATCAGTCGATGTGTACGCCACATTGCTGATCGTTTCTGATTCAATAACACTGATTCGAGCAAAGTTGCAAACCACATCGCACATTTCTTCCTGGGTTTCACAGTTACTGTGATAGTCTTCTGCTTTTCCAGTGTATAGTGCTTGTTTGGAAATCCATACCATCCCATAGTACTTTGGTTCTGGATAGCATATCCGATTACTCCAGGCTTTCTTTATCATGTTTTTCCTCTTAAAGCAGTTTCTCTGCTTATGACCAGCTTTGTGACAGAAGTAGCACGCCCGTCTGTGTCGCGTTTTCCTTTGAACTGATGCTCAAGTCACAGGACTCTCCACCAACACAGGTCGCTGATTGTTCTCGTCTTTCTTACTGTTGGCCTCTGATAATTCACAACGTTTAACACTGGTAGTAGTCAATTCACTGTTGGAGGTACCACCGAACACAAAACCAGACAAGCCTTTAGATGGTGGTGAAAGTTTTTCAACTTGAAATCCACCAGTGGATCCCAGTCCCTAATTCTTTTTAGGAGGCTGTCCAGATGACAGGATTTGATCCAGATTTTCGGCTCCAGTATTCAACATTCGAATTTTCTTGTGATTTTCAACAAGTTGGCTTTGGAGATCTCTAGCCTTCTCTTTTTCACTGTGGCACACTCCCCGTAGGTTGTCCAACCTTTCTTCCAATGCTCTTCTTTTTTCTCTTTCCAAGTTTAGTTCCTTCTTGAGCTCATCTGTATCTGCTGTCGCCTCGCCTTGGCTGACCTGAGCTGTCACAGTCTTGGTTTCTTCAGAGGAGGTACGTTCCATCTCAAGGATGTTCAGTTGTGCCTTCATCAGGGCTTTGTCTTTGAGTAGTTGGAGGTTTTCAGAGCTCAGTTTCACCCAGTTGTCGTAGAGGTTTCTGTACTCCACTTTAGGATCAATGTCCTCACCATCCGAATCAGAGTCTGAATCTCCCGGTTTAAGTTCGCTTTTGTCAGTCTCACCAGCAGTGAATGCAACAAAGTTCAGCATCAAATTCTCACCTTCCTCCTCCTCATCGTCTGAATCAGAGTCCTCGAAGACGATGAGTGATTTATCCTTGGATTTAAGGTTATTTGGACATTCATTTCTGGTGTGTCAATAGCCCTTGCACTCAATGCATTTTAGCTGCTTCCTCTTGGTAAGAGGACAATCACTCTTGAAGTGACCAAAACCTTCACACTCATGGCATTGAACATCACGTTTTTTAAAGTTTCCAGAGCGATCCCCATCTGATCGTGACTGTCTGTATGTTCCTCTATCAGTGTCAGATCTCTGCGTCTTGTTAAACCTGCTCTGACCTTTCTCAACATGCAGACTCAGATTTTCTTCGACTTGATTAATCCTGTCAACCTCTCCAGACGCGGCAAATGCAATGCTCTTTCGGGTGACCTTTTGATCATCAGAAGCCTCCATTTCTTCAGCTTTAAGAAGACCGACAAGTTTATCAAACTCTAGTGTGTCTGTATCCATGGAGTACTTCACCACAGTCTTGTGTGCTGCGAACTTGGGTGGCAGACACCTGAGAAGCTTCTTGACTAGCTTCTTGTCCTTGTACTTCTTCCCCAGTACAGCAGCCTCATTGGCAATGGTACTCAGCTTTGTGGTGAAACTAGCAACAGATTCGTCAGATGCCATCTTCAGGTTTCCAAATTCAGAAGCTAGATGGTCTATGCGAGTTCTCTTGACACTTGTGTCTCCTTCAAAGTGATTAACTAGAGTATCCCATGCCTCTTTTGCTGATTCACATCCTTGAATGATCCCGAACTCATCCAGATCAACAGCTGCAAATATGGTTGAGATTGCTTTGGAGTTGTACTTGGATAGACTTTTTTCGACATCAGTCCATTGGTTTTTAGGCTTCAGGACTTGCTTAGTCTTACCATCTTCATCTTGCGACGTCACCGTAGGATGAGTCCAACCTTGCTCAACAGCTGTCCAAGCATCTTCATCTATTCCTCTGATGATATGTCTCATCCTGGCTTTCCAATGACCAAAGTTACCAGCCCGAAGTAGAAGAGGTTTCTGGATAGCAATGAGTTCTTTCGATGTCTCCATGTTAGTCCACAAGATCTCAACCTGATGTAGAAACTGGTTTTCTAGATAGGTGACCCGCTCTGATACCAAATGAAAGAGGTGTAACACAGAGAGATATCGTAGAACACACACAATTGCAAAACTTCTTTTGCTTTCTTATTAGGAATCACTTAGACAATTATACAATCTGTCTAATCAGACTTACACGACACAGCCAAGCTGTTCGACACTGATCAATTCATAATCTACCCAAAACCAAACACGACAACAGTTGTGCACACAAGATACAAATCACTCACCTAGAACCCTAAATCTCACTCTTAGTCTCTGGTGACTTTTCTCGTCCTATTGTGCTCAGAACGGCTAACCTTACTGAGCCCTTCACCTTAGGAATATATACCACATCTTTGATTAAGCATGCGTATATCTCCTTTCCTTTTTCTTGTTAAGATTCTGATCTTCCTTTCTTGATACGTAAGATCTCCTCTCTCGCATTGCTGTAGTCGTGCCATGTCACCTTTCTTTCCAGAGCTTGCGTGTCACGAACTTCTTCAAAACATTTCCCGCTCTTCTATGTGTAACACATCGCCTTGATGAGCTGCCACACTTACACAAGTGTTGCGAACCGAGATCGTAGTAGCTTGTCCCAGCCGGATAAAGATTTCATTATGAAGCTGAGTACTTCGAGGAAGCCGCATTTGAAAGTAGTAAGGCAGCAAGGAATTCATGAGAGTGTTAACCGTGACATGATTGTGGGATTTGGGAGTTGGGAATTTGATCCTATAGAACTTGAGAACCCGTACTTGAACAACCAAGGCTCTGTGCATTTATGGCAAGGAAATGAGGACATGTTGGTGCCTGTGACGATGCAACGTTACATTGCACACAAGCTTCCATGGCTTCACTATCATGAGGTTTATGGAGGTGGCCACTTCTTCCACCTTGCTAAAGGTGTGGTTGATGACATTGTTAAGACGCTCTTAACCACTTGATGCTGAGAATTAACTAATTACGACATGTACTATCACCGCGGGGAAAATAAATTATTTAAAATTACACATTAATATTGTGGTTTATATTTTTCTAAACTGAAGTTTTTTTCTTTCTTTCTATAATTGTTTACAATCAATGAATATATAATAAGTGTGTTTAATATGTATAATTATATCTCTGAATAAAATAAGGATGATTTTTCCCAAAAAAGGGAAAAAGATAAAAGGATGAAATAACATCGCAATAGTCTCTCTCGACATCATTCAAAAGTTCACAACTTAGCTTTAAAAACAAAGACAAATACATGTACATTGAGGTTTTAGCTGGTGTTAAGCCTTCGATTTGCATCATTGCATGAAGTTCTTTTTTTGTTTATTTCTTTTTTTAATTAGAATTTTTAGAGTATGAATTCTTATTTTGCTACATTTCTTTGACCATCGCTCTTAGTTTCTTAATTGTTTTTTAGGTCGTCCTCTGTATTTAAGATTGTAGTTAGTTTCTATTTCTACTCAACTAAATGTAAAAGAATGAAATAATATTGGTTGCCTTCTTACAAACCGAAAATTGCGTCAATCTATAAAACCGAACCAAATCATAATCTAACCATAAAGATCGTTATCAAAAACCGATTGAATTGTGAATGAAACAAAAACCGAATCAAAACAAACCGAAATTGCGTCAATCTAAACCTAAACCAAACCAAATCACTAAACCAAACCAAATCATAACCTAACTGTAAAGATCGTCGTCATTGGCAGCAGCTGCAGAAATTGCAAAGGGATCAGTGGCTGCACCACCAGTGGTCCGTCCAGTACCCGTGCTTGGGTCAAATCTGAACTCAGTTCCAAACCCTCTTGACTGTTGCAGCGTCTGAGCAAAAGCTTGATACTTTCTTATATCAGCATCACTCACACTCCTCCTTGCAAACTTCATCGACTCTTCGAAATGAGCACCTCTAATCTCCGCAACTTCATCTTCCTCCATGGCCTCTAGACCATCTCTACTTCTACGCTGCTTCTCAATATCATTCTCGATGTTCTCTCTAATGGCGTACTTGCAAGCTCTCTGGCAAATCTCAGTGATATCCGCACCACTGAATCCACGAGTGTACTTAGCTAGCACGGTCAAGTCCACGTCTTTAGAAACAGGAGACTTCCTCAAGCAAGACTTGAAGATGTTGAGACGAGAATCTTCATCAGGTAAAGGAATGTAGATTAGCTGGTCTAGTCTTCCTGGTCGAAGCAGAGCTGGATCAATAATGTCAGGTCTGTTAGTTGCTCCGATGATAAACACCGTCTTCTTCGCATTCATACCATCCATCTCCGTCAAGAGCTGATTCAAGACTCTATCCGCTGCACCTCCTGCGTCGCCAACACTGCTTCCTCTCTGAGTTGCAATGGAGTCTAGCTCGTCAAAGAACAGAACACAAGGCGCGGACTGACGAGCTTTGTCGAAGATTTCTCTGACGTTAGCCTCGCTTTCTCCAAACCACATCGTGAGTAGCTCAGGTCCCTTGACGCTGATGAAGTTTGCTTGGCACTCGTTGGCTATAGCTTTGGCTAAAAGGGTTTTTCCACAACCAGGTGGACCGTAGAAAAGAACTCCCTTTGATGGAGACATACCGAATTTTTCAAACTTCTCGGGATGCTCCACAGGGTATTGAACAGTCTCTTGTAGCTCTCTTTTAACATTCTCAAGACCTCCAATATCCTCCCATGACACATTTGGAACCTCCACAACGGTTTCACGAAGCGCGGATGGGTTGCTGTTTCCAAGAGCAGTGTTGAAGTGTTCATTAGTCACAGCCATGGAGTTGAGAATCTCAGCGTCGATAGAGTCATCTTCCAAGTCAATCACATCCATCTTCTCTCTTATACATTGAAGAGCAGCTTCAGTGCATAGAGCTGCAAGATCAGCACCAACGTATCCATGTGTGTTCTTGGAGATTCTTTCAAGATCCACATCTTCAGCTAGCTTCATGTTCTTGGTATGGATCCTAACAACTTCAAGACGTCCGGTTTCATCAGGGACACCAATATCAATCTCCCTGTCGAATCTCCCAAACCTTCTCAAAGCCGGGTCGATACTATTGGGCCGGTTCGTAGCTCCCATGACGATAACATGTGCACGAGATTTCAACCCGTCCATAAGCGTGAGAAGCTGAGAGACAATCCTTTTCTCAATCTCTCCATTAGTCTTGTCTCTCTTTGGTGCAATAGAGTCAATCTCATCAATGAATATAATAGAAGGAGCGTTCTTCTCTGCCTCCTCAAATGCATTCCTTAAATTGCTCTCACTCTTACCAGCCATCTTAGACATGATCTCTGGTCCGTTAATACAGAAGAAAAACGCTCCTGTCTCGTTAGCCACCGCACGGGCAATCAAAGTCTTTCCTGACCCGGGAGGTCCATAAAGCAAGATACCCTTTGGTGGCTTTACACCGATGGTCTTGAACAGTTGTGGATGTCTCAAAGGAAGCTCAACAAGCTCTCTAATCTGAGCCATCTGTTTCCTGACTCCACCAACATCATCATAACCGATTTCATCAAGCCTTTCTTCTTCTTCTCTCTTTATTGGTTCACCTTCACAGAAAATCTCTGTATCTGGAGCCACCACACAATACTCACCAGGAGGATCAATCTCGATGACTTTAAACTCCACACTTCTCATTCCTCCTCTCACTAGGAACAGATCACCTTTCCTCACCGGACGGTAAGTCCCGAGGAAGTAAGGTTTTAAGTAAGCGTCGAAGAGGTTTCCGGTAACACCTTGTATGGTATCATCAACCGGCAAGATGTGGACACGTTTTCCATACTTGATGTCTGGACATTGGTTAACAGAGACAACGTCTCCGAGTCTAACCCTTAAGCTGGACCTTACGACTTTGTTCATTCTGATCTTTGGTTCCTCACATGATTCATCGGAAAGAGCAATGCAGACTGTGTCTTTCCTTTTCTTGCCCTTGATGAGAATCGTATCGCCATTGAAAAAATTGAGCTTTTCCATGGTGGAAGGGTGGAGAGAGACGAGAGAGTTGTCATCGTTGATGGCTTCGTCTACAACGAGCCGGTTTGGTGACTTCTTCTTCTCAAGAATAGCTGTGCTGAGATCTTTCTTCGATGGTTTGGAGTCGGAAGATTCAGTTTGGTTTGACATGGTTATTGATGAAATTGAACAGAGTATTTTTTGAAGAAAGTTGCAAAATTTGTTCGATTGATGAGTCTTGAGATAATTGGGATCCAGAGTTCGGGATTTATATAGTTGTCATCTACTCTTTCTTTTTCCTTTTCGGATAATGTCTTTCCAATTTACTTTTTTTTTTTAGAAAAAGGAAAAGAAGAATATGTATAGATCAATTTGGCTTTCTTGACTACCAAGTCGTTTAATCAAACCCCACGTAGCCCTATCAGATTTCCGAGTTTAATGAAAATTTAGAAATTATCCATTCCAATTTAATGGAAATTAACATGTAAAAAAGAAAAGCTTAAACAAGATTTAAGATATGATGGGGTAAAATTAAGTACTAGTATATTTAGGAGAGAAAAGATTATTATTTTAACTGAGAACTAGGTGTTTTGCCCGCGCCTCGCACAGACGGAATGATATCAACAAAATTTACATTAATTAGATGTTTAAAATTTTATTGTTATGATTATAAATTGAACAGAAATTAACAAAACATTATAAAACATAACAAAAAACAAAAATAATAATAAATAATAATCAATTTGTTTGTTTCCTATCTAAAACATGATGATTATTAGTTATTCTTATCTACACTTACATATACTTGAAAGTTATAACTTCGTTCTCAACCATATTCAACAGAGATTAAAGACACAAAAAGACGAACTAACGGTGATAATATATCGATCAATTACATATCTATAAAGGTTTTAACTATCTCTCTTTCTCTCTATCTAGACACCTAATTTAGATCTCTCTTAATTTGTTATTTCTCGAGATCTTCAAAATGTTATTCTTCTTGTTCTCCTTCATAAAATATAATTTTTCTAGTAGATAGATTTAGTTTTGTCTTTCAACTTCGCCTCCTCTCTTTTAGTTTCTTATTTTACTGTCAAGCATCTTCACCATCTCTTCCTTTTTCTTTATGTTATTCACGCATTTCTTCATCGTCAAAATTTCTTCATCGTTTTAACCACCACTGCTTCCTTGTACCTTATGTGCGTTTCTCCAACATTTTAAACAGGGTTTGGTACCAGTTTATTATTGTTGAATTCAATATCTCTGAGATTTCTCTGATCATACAATGATATGTTTTGGGGTCATTGTCATTTTGTCCTTTGGTATTTAATTTAGGTAAACAATCCTTTTAGTAGATTTTATCTCTTTTTCTTGTTGATTTTTATCTTTTTTTACAAGCACAGACGCAAAACCATGACATCAGAACGTAGGTAAACAATCATTTTTATAGTTTTTCTCTCTTTATTGTCGGATCTTATCTTTCTTGCAAGCGCGATTGTGAAACCATAGTATCATTACGTAGGTCAACAATCCATTTGTGGTCGGTTCTTATGTACACTTACATGTATGAGAAAGCTTTTTCTTTCTTATCAACCATATTGAATAGAAATAAGAAACACAAAAGAGATAAACTAATGGTTTATCGATCAATTACATGTCCTTGAAGACTTAACTTTTTCTCTTTCTCTCTCTAAAAATCTAAGTTAGATCTCCCTTCTTTCTTTCTGGAGAATACATAACATGTTATTCTCCTTCATGAAATACAATTTCACAATATATTCAGTCTTTTCTCTTTCTAACTTCTGTTCCTCTCTTTTGTCCTCTTAGTTTACTTTCAAGCATATTTGTCAGTTCGTCATTCTCCTTCTTCATAATCAATCACACATTTTTTGCCATCAATACATCTTCATAACTTTAACAGTTATTTCCTTGTCCATTATGTGTTTTTTCTCAAACATTCCAAGCATGATTTGGAACAAGTTTGGTATTGTCCAATTCAATATCTATGATATTTCTTTGATCATTCATCGATATGTTTGAAAGGTCATTGCTATTTTCTCATGTGGTATTAGAGCGTAGGTAAATAATTCATTTGATAGCTGTTATCTCTCCTTCTTGTCGAGGAGACATAAAACCATGGTATCAGAACGTAAGTAAATTAACAATCTCTTTCTTAGCATTTATCTCTCTTTCTAACCAATTTTAATCTTTATAAGAACGGGTTAAAAATTATGATATCAGAAGGTAGGTAAATGATTCTTTTAGTAGTTTTAATACCAAGTTAAAATTTGTCTCTTCAACAATTTAGCCAAACTTGAAATCAACTTTATAGTTTTAAAGTAATTTTGTTCTTTTTTTTTCGATGTTAGAGTGAAGGCTTTCAGCAGCAAACTTGGCATAATTAAATATCTTTTTCTTATATCCCAACTTCCCATATGTAATTGACTCTTCTTTGATTTTTGTCTCCATTGAAAGTGGCTTTTCGAATTCCTTTTACTTTTGAGCTAATTAAGTTGCATTCCTGCAAAAATAAAAAACCCCCAACTATTTTTTTTTTTTCGAAAGCCCTCATCACCCGTAATATTGCAGTTCTCTCAATCTCCTTATTTCCCTTTTTTTACCTCTCTGTTTAATATTGTAACACTTAAGACCATACTTGCTGCATATTGATTTATCAAGTACATCCACATTTCTCCACACGTTTTTTCGGCATATTGATTTATCAAGGACTGTACAACAAATTCCGACCAACCACAATTAAGAAAGATTTGAGATGTCATATGTCTTTGTGATTAACAATAAACACACAAAAATGGTAGAGACACGTGATAAATATGGATTGAATATATTGGAAGCCTCAAGTTTTGTTATATTTAAGAAACTCATGACTCGAAGAGCAGTGTAACTGCTAGGTGAAGTCCTCACACGAATCTTATAAGATTAAGAAAAATGACTCAATTTTTTTCCAATCATTGACCCAAAGTGGCAAGTATTACAACATTTTTTAGTCAATTCAAATACCATACGTACATGGACTGAAACTTAATTAATGAACTGAAACTTACAATTTAACAACTACCACCTTGAAAGTATAAAAACGGATTGATGGGATGCTATAATCGAAAAAGAATGATGACCAAAACTCAATTACGACGAATCAGAGCCATCCCCACAAAGATTGAATTCAAAAGGGAAAGGAAGAGAGATTTATAAGAATTAGAGATAAATAGGAAACTGAATCCATTGAGAAAAATAAAAGTTGATATGTTGATAGTCGTCAGCATAAAGTTATTCATCTTGCAAGTCAACTCATGCCTTTGGCGAATTAAGAAAAAGACACAAGATATCATAAATAGAGTATCAAAAATTTTACCTTTTTCTTCTTCACCATTATCTCGATTGTTTCCGAAATGATATAGTAACAAAGAGAATATCAAGGGACAATTTTGTTTAAAAAAAAAGTTTTTATGGTTTGAGAAGATTAAATTAGGTCTAACAGTTACCTCTCTGACACGAAGTTCAAACCTCTAAGAGGTAATTCTAGGCGGCCACCACCATAACAGCGGCTTGTTTTTGAACAGAAGCACAACTCTTCTGCTTCGAAGCTTCTTCCGCCTGACTTTTCAAAAATATAAGAAAAAAGGACAAACAATCGACTGATAGATTAATGGATAATCTTAAGTGATAAAGAATCTAAACAAAAAACAATGAACAAACGAAATTTAGAAACGATGGCACACGAAAAAAAAGAAAGAAATAAAAACAGACTGAAAAGATGAACATAACGAACAACATGTAAAACATGCACAATTCTAATTGTAATACTCACGTAACGGATACCTCGGTAAAACGGGGATGCCTAAAATACCAGACGTATAACACACGAATCTAATCAACCAAAACAAACATAAGTAGAACCATTTGACAATATAGTCGCCAATATCATCAAACAAAACAAAAAAAAAAAACAAATAAAAAGGCAAATAAAATAGAAAAAACCACAAAAGATGATGAACACAAAGAAAAAATAAATAAGAGATAAAAGACCAAAGCAAAACTTAAAAAAATCAAAAAGAACACACGAAAGAGACAAAATCATAACGACACAAAAACAAATTTAGAAAGCACCAAACAAAGCAACCAATCTAATGACACCAATTCAAATGAAAATAATCCAAAAGCGTAATACAAATATATATATATAGACACGAACAACCCAACCTCTCCACACCATACAAAAGCAAGCCCTCAGGATTAGACCACGACCACCCTAAAATATTCAAGAAAAATAAAGAGAAGAGACCACGGCCAACGAACAAAAAAACCGACAAAACCAACGCAAAAACACAGAACCAAAACAAAGCCAAAACTAAAATGAAGGAAAAAAAAACAATCAAACCTGCAAACTTGACACATAGGAAACTGATACAGAGCACCGTATAAAAATTCTAAAGAGACAGAGCACCGTACAACATCAAAACAAAAAACACCTCATATCAATTAGCAAGCAAAGATTAGCCACACAGATTAACGAACAACAACATAAATTGACTTAAAATCATTACTGAAACCGTAAAGTGCAAATAAGAAGTTGAGATTTTTAATCATAGACCAATACCCAAAAGCACGTTAAAAGGAAAGCATCAAAATGTAGAACACACCAAAGATGGAAAACATTACCTCGAGAACCCTAAACACGTAGAAACTTAGCAACACGCGGCCTCCGACTCACCCTAAGCGAGGCAAAAGAGAGATATATTTATAGATACCAGGTGAATCTAGGGTTTCAGAAATATATTATCGTCTCGTATACCCAAAAATGTTGTTTCGATAGAACTCAGCTAACTGCATAGCTTGTCTAAACAAAACACTCCAGATCCAATATAAGAAGGGCTTTGCTCCGCATTTGTATTGGTTATAAGAAAAAATCTGATGCAGGAAATTTACTCACGCGAAACCTCGCCCAGATTGAAATTGATAATTACCCTCAGAAGCACGGACATTTTCTCCAACCTACGGGATTCTTTAGTTTTTTCGTAGACCTGTATAGCATATGAAGCAGTGTAAAAACCGTCAGATACTGGTTCCTCTACGATACAAACGCGACTCTCAAGGCATTGATAAAAACCAATTACGTATAACAAATGGGTCCGAAACAAATACTCTACAAC